AATTAATTATCTAGGATTAGTGTGTGCAATCCGTATAAGAATACGTCAGCACCGAAAAGCCTAAAGTAAAAGGTCACCAACTGTTTGTTACGATTTAGCTATCGCTGAGGTGAGCCACACTCCTACGACGGCGCAGCTAGATCCCAAACCGAGGCAGTAGTTATCCATGACTATTGCCTCGACATACTACATAAACTTGCAGAGAGTTAACATTGCATTGCTCACTTCCATTTTGTAAACTGATAAAAATTTTAATTTTAGTAACTCATTTCTTTAAATATTAGCGCGTCTGTACTTTGCCAACCTTGCTTGTCTAGTTACTTTATAAGAGTTCTATGTTACGCTTGAAAAATGGGTCATTTACTCATAAGATGTGTTAATGAATTAAACAGTTAGATACAGCATGAAAGATCAGCCTTGCTTGCTATTAATATCTTATCAAATACTAGATATAGCAGTTTATTGACAAAGGCATAACATGACTTGAAGTTTAACTCGAATTTTATTACCACGTATCTTATTATGTTTATTATTCCATAGCACGCAATTTTATACAGTATATAAAATTTTACACAAAACGCCAAATTTGCGTTTTGTCTCAATATCGATAATAATCATTGCAGAACATTGTTTTTGACACTAAACGAGCTGTAATGCGATCAATTATTATTTACAACAGCTCACTCAACAAGATTGACTATGCATATTGTAATTATGTAATTATATTATTGTTATTCTTTGACTGTGATAACGCAAACATTTAGATTATTAACCGGTAATTCAATTTGTGTCTGCTTGACAATTCTATGCTAGTACCCGAATAAAGAATTTACTTAATGTAGTGGAAATAACATAATATGTTATTTTCACTTAGTCCCCCTCAGCTATGACGTGTAGATCGCAAAATTCAAGTCATTCGAGTGATGGGTAGATCGCAAAATTCAAGTCACTTGAGCAATTATATATCTCTGGGTGTGATGTGTAGATTGTGTTTGTATCGTCATTCGAAAGCCACCAAGGTATGTATTGTGGCTTGACGTGTGATTTCTATTTTTCACGTCACTCAAATGACGACTGTGGCTAATTTTTGTCGTCACTCATAATGTATGTTGATTTAGTAATCATGGCCGATTTCCGTCGTTGGGTCACATGGGCAAAAAAAATACTGACGATGCATCCGATTATATATCGTCATTTGTGGTTATCGGGTATGCTATCAAATATGTATACGCAATTGCTATCGATACATACATCATAAATGTTATCGGGGAATGCTATCAAATATGCTTTGCGTAATTGCCATCAATTAATGCTACTAATCGCTATCGGGTATGCTATATACACGCTATCAGGTTATGCTATCAAAAAATGCTATCGATAATACTATCATGAATATGCTATCGAGTATGTTACATAAATACTATCGAAAAGTTATACTATCGATAATGCTATCAAAATGTAATCGCTCATGCTCACTATCCTAGAATGCGTTTAAAATGGATCTGCTCGCGTCCTAATAGGAAATTCGTCTAGGTTTCGTCCAAGTAAAAAATATGCCAACTTGGACGGATAATGTTATGGGAGAAAAAGGTTTAATTTTGTTTTAACTTGTTCTTCTATACTTGTTATAATTCCGTTTAAGTTGTCTAGGTAAAAAATAGAATCCTCGGAAAAAAATAAAACTCTTTCCTATGGTATACAATATATACATGATACATATATATTTATGCTATATATAGTTATATAATATACATACCGGTATATAATTTTTTAGTTATAACTAATTTTTTATAATTAAAACAACTAATCGATTAGAAAAATTTTAATCAATTCCGACCCTTCTGCACGTGATACCAAGTTTAATGAAATTCTTGCCAATCGTGATGCCAGGTTCTTAACCGAACTCACGTCTTCATTTTCCTCTCATGTTCGGAAAAAGATAAATAGATAATATGTTGTGATCCATTAATACTGAATGAAGGCTATGTGGTGTGGTTGTTAACTTTTTCTCTGGCTTCGAGCATATATGCAAGAAGGTGGGATGATATGTGTGGTATTGTGGCCGTTGGGACAACAGTAGATATCAAAAATTATTATCGTATAGCAAAGTTTTAGTGAAGCCAGTGAAACAATATGACGCAGGGACTCGCATTAAATGGCCTAGGATCCGCGTACTCCCTCCCTTGAAAGCACGTCATATTACTCTTAAGATTAGGCTTTGAATTTTTTACGTGAAGTATGTAAGCTTTATTATATATATTTCATAAACTCTATTTAATGAATATATTAGCATTTTCTTGAATATAGTATTTCACCGATTGAGACTGAAAGGTCACGGTGTTTTTTTCTGGATGATATGCAAATACATTGGCCTCCAATACTTTACTGGCTTCTTCATAATTATTGAAAATTTTCATAAACGTAACAAAGCTCAACTCTTTAAAGTCTAATAAAGCTCTGATTGTTTCCTTTCCTACTTCATGATGTGATTGTTTTTCGAGGAGTTGTGCAGATTGGAATTTCTTCTCGACTTTAGTTAAGATTTGCTGTTTAATGACTGCAGGAAAAAGTTAGTAAAAAGTAAATTAATCTGATGCAAATTAATAAAACCAATTCCTACTTTCGAAGGATTGTCCAGCCACAAAATCATCTGCCACAGTTTTCAACTCTACAATACGACCACCAACCAATTCATATAAATTTTTCGCTTCTATTTCGTTGATCTTGCGCTTTTTAGTCAGGTATTCCATTGATTCTTCCTTACTAAGGTCACCGATTTCCATCACTGGTTGTTTCGC